GCCTTTCACATCGGAAGGATGACCCATCTCAATGTGGTTAAGAAGGTAATGTATCCCAAATGACACACTGAATATTTCACCCCAAGAAAAAAAATTGGAGTTGGATGAATGGGAGAGATGGAGCAATGATGGGTTCTTGCCTGAAACTCTTACGACGTTAAGTAATTCCTAAAACCATCTGAGAGTGCACATTCAGGGTTTGAAACGATCGTCCCGTGGCTTGCACAGATCAATATAAATGGCCAATGATGATTAAGTCATATGTGCTAAGGCTGTTTACATCATTATAACTACTTTCAACCAGACCCATCTCCCAGTAATCCCTGGGGTAAACTTATTGGGATGGATCTACTCTGGCCACCAGTAAAGTGGATGTTGAGGCCACATACTGGATGATACAGCCCAGCAGTTAACTACAAACCACACGCCTGAAAATTGGAGTCTGCGGATTGCTTGTCGCTTGAGACAGCTTACCTCACTCGGGTGAGTTTTCTCATTCTCAGGCTGGTTGCTTGATGAAATGCCGCAAAGGAAGGAAGACGCTGGCAGTGTCACAGCTCGTCACACTTGACTCTTGCCAGCGGAGCTGATTGACAACAATCTGCAACCTAAAACATTTCACCTACGCTGAAACGGAGAGAAAATGTCTGAAACAATGCAGAATACTGACTGGTGCCCGGGGTACAGTCCTTGTGAGCAGCACAAACAGCAGTCATGATCAACACAGACTGGAATTGACCAAGTTCTTTGTCTATTTAAAAGTACAACAGCAACTTGAATTTATATAGCGTCCCCACGACACTGAGCCGAGGGGGAGGGGGGAGGTGACCATAGGCACGGTCGAAGAGGAAGGTCTTCAGGTGCGATCTGAAGATGGGGACGGAAGGGGCAAGGCGGACGGATAGAGGGAGAGTGTTCCAGAGTTTTGGGGCGTAGATGTTTTGAGCGTGGCCACCAGAGTACACTTGAAGGTTGAAGTACACTTGATCCCGGGCTAGCCAGACTAATGGGAGCAGAGGGCCAATCTGGTTCTAAGTGTAATTATTATGCCAGTACTGGCATTTTTGGGTTACAGATTTCTCAATGACTTCTGTCAATCATCTCTAGGAGAGCTGGGGCTGGGGAGAGTCTACACAAGCTCGGCTGAACAGTGAGGTACAATACAAATTTACATTTATAAAGCGCCTTTCACATCGGAAGGATGTTCCAAAGCACTTAACCACGCTTGGCTGGGCACCTGAGCTGGGGTCGCGAGCCGAGGGGATAGGGAAGGGGAGGGGAAAGATGACAGAAAGCGCAGTCAAAGTAAAGTGCATGATTCTTCACCTGTGATTTTTTTTCAGCTTTATTGCAGTACATGTTACACTCACACTATACATCAGAGTAGTCCTTGGTTTATACAGTAAATCTTGAGCTTGGTTTATTATTATGCAGTTTGGACAGTGATATGGAGAAGCAGAGGATATAAATCACAAAGCACACACATTCATCTTTTATGCGTTTGAATGACAAGTTATAGAATTGATACGATGAATCTGGGCAATTGAGTTGGCCCTAATCCAGAGTTTTATCACAAGTGCCGCTCTGATTGACAAACATATTTGACAGGTTCTTTATGCTGGGACAATGTGCACCTAACTTATACCCAACTACAGTCTTGACATGTTCCAGCACGTATAAATTAAATGGGGAGGTATAAGATTCACTCAGCTCTGGAAAATGCTGTGACCATTTCCATCCTTAATATCATGACAAAAAGAGGTGAAAGCAACACCACCAGAAAGGTTTTAATACAAACTATAATATTATGTCGTGGATCATGTCACTGAAACAGCTGGGATAACACGTCATGGTAGTCAAAATCTATTCACGCTTTGAGGGCTAAAAGGTTGGCCAAGACTTTGGCAAGCAATAAAATTGGCGCGAGCAATTTTGACCAATATGGCTTAAACCCAACCTCAGAAGATCACCACTTTTCTCTACAGCACCAGTGTGACATTCAGTTTTCACAGTCACTAACTGCGTGGCACTGCAAATTAGATGCGAGTTTGGGGTAGTTTTTTTTAACAGTAGAACTGGATTGAGGCTGCCTTAAGCTCATTTCAATCACGGCACGAGCAGAAAAGAGATTATTTCACTAGTGTAAATTGGATTTGAACCCAGATTCACTATCCAGCCCCTTTGCAGATTTTAACAAAGGATATGAATCAGAGCACAGCCATGTTATAACACCCTTATGTAATATTTAGAGACCGTGTCTCATTCATTGCCCTTTAATGACAGGGAGCTATAAAGCTTCATCTCAACAAATTCCTGCAAAATCCTTATTTATTTTGATCATTTTATAAACAAATTCATTTCCAGTACATTTCACATAACTATTACAATGATCTAAAAGAAAAACAAGTCTAGAGTCTTTATGTTAATAATGATTCATTCTGACCCACACATCTGAATATACAATATTTCTGTTCCAAATCTTTGCATTTGCGTGAAATTCTCCCTCCAATGTGGTTTATATTATAATTCACCAGATTCCACTCTCATCAACCCAACACACATTAAAAAAATGCCCACAAAACCATAAACCCAATTAAATGGAACATGAACTTTAAATAATCTGCTGATTTTTACATAAATACTTTATACTAATTGGGACAAAACTAGCTAATCTAATTGCAGTACAGCAGAGTGGGGGCATTAATCTGATTTCTTTTTCATATCAGTGCGGATTCTGTAGTCTTCTAACCTATTTATAAGTCTCCAGTCTCACTAAGCGTGTGTGCCCACCTACATGGCTGTATTGAGTCAACAAAGGTGGTTGCTCCGTTGTAAATATTGGTTCACGTCTAATGATCCACATCAAACAGTTCTGCACAGGGTTTTGCAATTATTTTTAGATAAGCTTTAATAATGAGCAGATATAATGATCAAGAAAGGGAACAGCCAGCCATTCTGTTATTTTTCCACTTAAGCTACTTAAACAAAACTGAAATCACACTTCATGGTAAATAAAAGGCTTTCACTGGCTTGTAAACATATCTGCAGAGTCCAGTTGAACTCGAGAGGAGATGAAGGGAAAGCTTTCTAAATTACTGCATCACCCAGTCCTGTTCACACAGCTCATATGCTGTTACATAGAACAATTTGATTGTTGAGCTTAGAATACTCGAATGCTTTTCATGCATTCTCATTTGATTTAATTTACCTTGCGTTTTTCAGGTCTCGGGAGTGTTGCTGGCATGATAAGCGTTTGGACAACAGCTGAAGTTTTCAGCCATCTCCTGTGATCACAGGCTTCATAATTTACATCTATCTGCATACAGCTGTACAAAACACACTTTTAAAAAATATTTGTATTGAAGGTTAATCTCATCAAGCAAGGTGGTGTTGAAAACAAAACATTTCCACATTAGTGTGCTTCTCATACTAAGTCAGCTATAAAGTAGATCTTTTATACTGTCCTGCAATAAGCCTCAGCTCCTATCTCAAAATGGCACCACTTACTTAAGTGGAAATCTTTCCACTTCCTAGACTAGCTACCCTTAGTGTCTGAGTAACAGCGTATCATAAGCAAACATTCACTCAAACATTTTGTTCTGTGTAGGCAATCCAAATGTCTGGGACTGATTTTGGTGGTCTGTAAGAGATTTTTTTTTAAGCGAAAAATAAAATCTTGATTCCATATAATGTGCAGTAAAGTGATACCATACTTCTGACAACTGTGTTTTGATGTGAAACCACAGGGTGTCACAATTGGGAGTAAAATGCACGAGTCTGCTTTCGATTTGTTACGGAAAACAGGTGGGACACTATCTGGTGTGCAGCTGGACACGAACGAAGGTCTTTCGCAGGGAAGTGAGGATAAGATGTTTAATGGTATTACAGAGAAAGAAAGCCTGTGAGGAGTTGAGTGAACAGAGACAGACAAAAGCCTGAGTAAAATAGACCGAGCTCACTGTCGGCTGGTGCTGTTTGTTTCATTTTAAAAAGTAGCCTATGAAAGTTGAAAAGACTACTACAAAATAAATGGATTAACACAATGTATTCCCCTTCATTTCTACACATCCAGATGTGAAATTCAGAGTCTGTTTGGATTCTCATCTTGAGTTTTGGGGAGTTTGATATTGGGTGCAAGAAGCTAAAGTGGAGAAAATGTTACAATGGGATCTCATTCTTGGACCCAAGTGTTGACACTTGCCCATAAGATGGATCCAGCACGCTTTGTAAATGGGTTAAAACTTTGATTAGATGCCGTATTGACATCTGGTGGCCAAACATGAATAGAGCAGCAATTTAAGCATCTATATAATAATAATAATCCTTGCATTTGATACAGCGATTTTTCACGTCTTTTGAGACGTCTCAAAGCGCTTCACAGAATATACTGGAAAGTAAATTCACCGTATATTTGTGGGCGAGAAATGCGGTAGCCAATTGCGCCCAGCAGTCATTGGCACGCAGCCCGATTTGGAAGTGAATACTTACGAGGTGTTGAACTGAAATGTTAACTGCACGTCGAACAACATTGTGTTCCAATCCCAATCTTCATTGATTAGAAGTTAGTTGTCTGCCGTCTTGGGCCGCATGGGTTTGGTTGCTCCAGTTACTGAATGATAGGAACAACTAGTGCTGCCAATCAGCCCAACCTCCCATTGGCCATTTGTAGAGGGGCGCTGGCTGTGACCCGGAGTATCTGCTGATCTCAACTGAGGGAGGAGGTTCAGTGGTTGTTTTAGACAACGGCACAAATGTCAAAAGAGAAAGGGACAGCTTAATTACATTGAGAACTAATAGAACTAATAGAGTTCAAGTTTAATTGGACATTAATAAAGGCAAACAGACTTGTGAGAGGACAACTCCACCCGAGCTACTGCTGTAAAGGGAAAGAAGTTCTGTACATCAGTGTCATGTTAATCCCCACAAAACTAAGCATACTTCCTAACACTAATTAATCTACCTGCGCTAAGACAACTACATTGATGATGGCCTTTGAGCCCCATCTCTATAACTCTATGTTGGGTGGAGCTGCTCTTTGGCAAGTCCCTGTCTGTGGTACATTCGCTGGGTCTTTACACAGTGGTGATTTTCTTGTCCTTGGTGGCCTGTTTGATGGCTGCCTGTTCGCAGATGATCTCTTTGAGTCTCTGCACACGCATGTTTTGAGTGGTTTGATCTCCTACGCCTGTCTGGCTGCGGTGAAGGAGACTCAGAGCGTTGATGTACTCCAGTTCCGTGTATTTCACCCCTTGATCCACTACTAGGTTCAGCAATTCATCTGGAGTGTTGTACAGCATCTCATAGTACTGCCTGTGGATGAAAGGCATATATACGGTCAACGCATGGCACATAGTATAATAATAATCCTTGCATTTGATATAGGGCCTTATTAAATCTTCGAGACGTCTCAAAGAGCTTCACAGAATATACTCTATAGTGAATATGACTGTATATCTGTGGGCGAATCGTGGCAGCCAATTGCACACAGCAGTGTCCCACAAACAGTCGTGGATTGAGTGACCAAATTATTATTATCTTTTTTTTGAAGGGATTATTACCGTCGGAAAAGCGATGCGCCAATCAACTAACAACTACTTACTGCTAAGTAAATAGAGGCGTGTGGAGTAAAGAAACTTGCCCAACATTTCGCCCTGTCAGGAATAGACCCAGGTCTCTCGCTTGCGAGGCGAGTGCTCTAACCACTGAGTTAAGACTCAAACCCATTTCCAGCAACTGCCGTACAAATCCGATGAACAAATTGATCAACTATTTTACATTGTTATTTCAGTCATGCTGGTGTTCAAGTCATGTCCCTTAGAGCAAATACAAGGTAATCATAACGGCTGCTGTAATTAAACTCATACATAAAATGTTATAATAAAGTCTGGGTTCAGAAACAGCCTATGCATCGTAAGTAAGTATTGATCACTGTGCTGCCTGCAGCAATAGTGCAACAAGACATCTTGTTATTGGAAGTAGCTCAGGCTGTTTCCAATAGCAACACAAATGACCTAACTGGCTCATTTTTAAGCCTGGTAGAGCTCTTCAAGTACATGTATTCTGCTCACCCCAGAGGATAGATCCACTTACAACCTGCAAAGGCCACTTTATCTACTAAAACTGGCATCAATTGGAACTGAGAGCAGCGATAACATTACTGTAATAACTTACTGCTATAAACCTGTGATTGTGTCCTGCTATCTTGCTCTTGCTCCTAATGCTAATCTCCTCGGTGAGAAACACTGATCTGAAGCTTTCAGTGAAGTGACTGATTGAAAACTGGAACCAGCATTTAAAAGCACGGACAGAAAACCCGGTACTTGCACTTGCTAAGATGGAGTGTCAAAACAGTACTAAAGCGGCATTGCTCCTCTTTAAACAAATCATACTTCTTCCTTATCTTAAAAAGAAACAAAAAGCACAATTTCATGGATTATTTTCTTAATACACAATGGGTCTTCTGCAGCAACAAAATCAATGGAAACGCAATGGAAAAGAGATACTGTGATACAGTGATACTGTACAACAATTTCATTTATACCACCAGATGTCATTACATTGTCGCATATGTCCATCTCCTGCTCGCTCATGTGCAAATAGTCTTCGGGATAGAAAAATAGATGAAAAGAAAGAACACACTGCAGAGCCAAACCAGCTCATTGGGACACAAGGACATACACGTAACAATGCTGTTTCACCTCCAAAATCAGGGTAGAATCTCGCCCATCTCAGGCAAATGGGATGCGACTTATTTCCCTAGCCTTTAGGATGCTACAAGCTACATGTTTCCTACGTGAAATAAGATTGGGGTACTCACAACCCACTTCCTCATGAGCGGCAGTCTGGAATGCAAAAGTGCTCACAAATGTTGGAACTAAATTTCTAGACTCACTCAGAGACCAGGAGAATGAGCGGTGTTGGACGTGGAAATGTTAACATGGGTGCAGGAGGGAGGAGGTAATCTTCTGAGATTGGTGATTAAAACATAACGTTGGGCAGAGAACATTATTCTGCATCTATCTTTGTATTGTACCTGAACTTTTACCTCGCCTTGTATTGACCTTTGGAATATTTTTAAACCAAAGATTGTGATTTTATTTTCAATCATGGTACAAATAATGCAGAATTCATTTGGCCCACAAATATACGTAAATCAATTCACTTTACAATATATTCTGTGAAGCGCTTTGAGACGTCTCAACAATGTGATAAGGGGCTATATCAAATGCAAGGGCTACCATTATTATTTTAGTTGACCTCTGAAGAGACAAAAACATTAACAATATTATTAGTCAGGATTATTAGCCTCATTACTATCCAGTGTCCCCTGATGTAAAGTATGCATGTCATCTTAAGGACAGGATCTAATTTGACTGTGATTTCCTGTTTGCCTGCTGACACTTGCTGACCAGTCTCCCACTTATACGAATGATCTTAGGTGCTGTGTCACTAAGGGAACTATATCCCAGCATCAGTCAGAAATTTCAGTCATCAATTTCACAGTCTAGGTATCAACGAGTGCAGTTAGTAATATTAAATATGCATACATTCTCAATGATTGTTACATTACATAACTGATAAACAGTGCTGGTTTGTTTAATGATGAGAAATTTGGTCTATCCATAAAGTCCTCGATAGCCTGGAGTGCCCATCTGATAGAAGATAAGGTTGTAAAGATAATTACAACAGAACATAAAGTCTAAATGGAGATTCCTGAGAGTAGAAAGGCCAATTATATTTGTTCTTTCATATTTCATTATGTGATAAGAATCACAGGAATCATCCATCAATTTTTTAACAGATTTCTTTTCCTTCAGCTTGTACAAATCAAAATGACCCACCATAAATATTTATGAATAACCTTGAAGAATGAAAAATTAACAGACTCAGTGTTGAGTTGAAAGTCGTTTATGCAAAACGTGCATGACCAAGGGCAATGCGGATTTCTACGTCAGTCACAAGAACTTTAATGCAGCAACAGCTGGTACTCTCGACAACAACAACAAAATCACATTTATAGAGTGCCTTTCACAGAGTAAACTTTAAAGTTGATGAAAATTAATTATCTGAGATTGACAATAAAACAACACCTCGCATTTATATCTCTCTCCCCCCCACCCACTCAAGCAGGGTAGCATCCCAGAGCTCTTGACAGTGGTGGAACATTACGCCGAGCTGGGGGGAGAGGGGGGTGGTGGCGGAGCGTGGGGAGGTGACTGTAAGGACGGTCGAAGAGGAAGGTCGTCAGGCGTGACGAGGTCCCATAGGTAAAAGTCCAGTTACTAACCCTCTTCGCCTTGGGCTGGCTTCCCGACGTGAGAGGCGCGATACAAATGTAATTTGTGGTAATTTGTTGTTTGTCACTTGGTCCCCAGGATCCTGAATTTACATCAGGTGGTCAAGACACAAAAGCTACACAGTGCTGTAAATATAAGCTTGAGAGGTTTGATACCTATCGTGGTTGTTGTTGAGATGAATGTTATCTTTCTCTGCACCATTACGAGCAATGTGATAATGACCGGAAGGTGCAGGTTAATTTGTTTTAAACTGTGCAAAGGATAATTCCTGAGGGCTGCATGAAATATTCAGATCCATTAATTACCGTAATGCATGACGACATTGATTTAGCGATATTCCACAACATCAGCAGAATCAAGTACAACTTATTTACATGTGCTAGTGGTTGCACAATAGTCTTCAAATTCAGGGTCCAGGCAATGAAATGAAATGCAAATTCTTGCCGGTGTAAATAAATGAAAGCTAATTTACTGAGTCGTTTTACAAATATGTTGGGTTCAGATGAATAAAATATCACAGTGCTGGTTTGAAGCATTGTACAAAATGCTAATTTCACATTGAAACATCTACATTATGCAGTTAAGTCAAGGACAGCACATTTTTTGCCAAATAACCTACTGTGATAAATAATTAAAATTGCCATTTGAAGAATAGTCTTTTTTTAATGTCTCGGTTTAGCAAAGAAAAAAAAGAGATTTAATGTGCCTATCCTGCATAGCTGATATATATATATATATACACACAGCCAGTAAATCAGTAGAGATCAAACACGCGTGTAAATTAATTCAATCAGAAAATGCGATTTGTTCAAGCAATCCTGTATCAGCCAAGTAGCGAGACGAGATCCATCATCAATAGATAAGTTGCTTTTTTCTCCCTTATTCTTCCTGTTATTGTTGCCATTTCATAGGTCACAACTAAAAACATACCTGAATAATAATAATTATCCTCGAATTTGATGTATTTTATCACATCTTTGAGCTGTTTCAAAGCGCTTCACAGAATACACTGTTGAAGTGAATTGACTATATTGTGGCAGCGAATTGCGCACAGCAGTGTCCCACAAACAGTCGTGGATTGATTGACCAAATCATTATTTTCTTTTCCCAGAAAAACGATCCGCCAATCGATTAACACCCGGGTTCCTACCTGTGGCAACGTAAACCGAGACGTGTGGAGTAAGGAAACCTTTTCCCTGCCTGGGAATCGAACCCAGGTCCTTTCGCTTGCCAGGCGAGTGCTCTAACCAATAGACCCTGTTCTGTGAAGCACTGCTACATCAAACCGTGTTGGGAATGCTCAGAAATTCAGCTTTTCTGCTTGCAAGCAAGAAAAACATATAAATTGAAGATAAATTCACTGTTTGTACTGAATGCAATCTGTTCTTTTTAGAGGGTGGGTGGAAGGAGGTTACCCTAAACTTGAATTGGAATTTTGTTAGTGTTAGTCTGGAACCAGTTCAGAGGTGCCCTGAATATCCAAACTGTGGACGTATCATCCATCCTAACTAACAGCACGAAAGCAAAGCATTCTTTTCAATGCTCACACCCATGAAAGTAGCAGTCACACGAAAGTCCAGAGAGCTGCCATGTCAGCGTGAATGTGTGGTGATGATTGGCGCCCTGCTGGGTTTGAAAAGCTTTCCCTTGCACTTGCTGCTATGCGCAAATAATGACAGTGCACTCACAGCTCACCGAATACTTTCTCAACCTTTCTACGCTCCTTTTAGTTCTTCAGATGATGACAGGTTTATATCCCAAGGTGTTTGCTGGAGGCAGACAGGGTACAGTTAAATCACTGGTAGCGTCCCAAAGGGCCATCAGGGAATGCAAATACCTCTAATGACAACTAATTACAAATCCAATGAATATGCATTTCTCATCACAACACAAAGACCTCTGTCAGTTATTTGGTGCTGTTCTTCCTCCAACACGCCACCCTGTCATAACTTTGTCAATTCATTTCGATACCGTTTCCTTTGCTGGGTGTCTGACTTACGGTTTTGTTTCTGGGGGACGTGAGCTCAATAGCAATCTGTGCAGAGGCGGGGTACTGTATTGCTGCATCGATGCCACAAAAAGTGATATACTTGGGATAGTGCCCAAAATGCAGCACGAGTGGTCAATGAGAAGATCTTGGGTCATTCCCGTAGGCATAAAAGGTAAATCAGAATCATCTATCTGGCGAAGTTCACAAGAGATGTGGATTAAAAAATCCCTTCCGCAATTTCAATTTGCCAGAATACAATACAAATTTACATTTGTACAGCATCTTTCACGTTGGGAGGACGTCACAAGGCGCTGGACAGTCAGAGATTTGGACTCGAGCTGGGGGTGGGGTGGGGGGTGGTGGTTTGGGAGGGTAGGAGGGTGGCCGAAAGTTGCGGTCGAAGAGGAGGGTCTTGAGAAGTGCCTTGAAGGAGGTGAGGGAGGGAGTGAGGCGAAGGGAATGTGAGATGGAGTTCCAAAGGGTGGGCGCAGAGAGGCTGAAGACCCCACCTTAGTCAGCAGATACTCAAGCTGTTATCTAAGCGGTTATACTACAAATGGAAGGGATGGAGGGGGGAAAAAAAACTTTACGTTGATTTTGAAGATATATCGTGGAAATTAAAAATACATATTTGTTTAAAAAGTCAATGAAAATGGTTAAGTTGCATTGATCGAGCCACAATAATTTGTCACCTGGCTAAAATAGTAACTGGTTTATGCATCGAAAATGATTGTAAATAAAACGGCAAACATCAGAAGCGATCTGTCTGCAAACAAATCAATACCTCGGATATTCAAGACTTCATTGCAAAACAAGTGTAGAAAATGAAATGTTTCATGACACGGTTGCTAAGAAACAGTGTCATTTCAAGTTAATTACTGACTAGTTTTGGGTGTGAACTAGCCCAAGACTTTGGCACAATGGTTAGACCTGATGAATTGGGAACTCCCATTTCTACTTTCAATTGCGGAGAGGGCTTTCTCTGTATTGCTTTGTGGGATCCTGGCTTAACTCAATTGGTAACTCGTGATGGAGCAGTCAATAAAGGCCCTGGGGTCGGGAAATGAATTGGGATGAGAAGCAGGAATCTAAAACTGTGGCACTAAATGGACTTCGAACCCAACCATTGAACCAAAGTCGAGAGTTTACACCGATAACCATCAACTAGCATTCCGCTATTTCTTGATAGATGTGATATTATTACCCACATTGAATCTATTCTGAAACATCTCATTTCTTCCTGCTCACAGCAATAGTCTTTGACAGGTGTACACCATTCGTCCACCTACCCACCAATGTGTCAGGATGTTTAGCACCTTGGCAGCAAATCAGGTTGTTTTTGTGAGAGTAATAAATGAACAATAATAATCCTTGCATTTGACACAGCGCCTGATCACCTTGTTGAGGCGTCTCAAAGTGCTACACGGAATATACGGCAAAGTGAATTGACTGTATATTTTGTGGGCAAAACGCGGCAGCGTCCAATAAGCAACCGTGGATTGAGTGACCAAATTATTATTACTATTTTTTTAAAGTGATTATTACCCTCAGAAAGAGATCTGCCAATCAACTAGCAACTGGGTTCCTACTTGCTGCCAGGTAAACAAATGTGTGTGGAGTAAGGAAACTTGCCTAAGGTTTTGGCCCGCCTGGGAATCGAACCCGGGTCCTCTCGCTTGTGAGGCGAGTGCTCTAACCAATACACGACAAGACTCTACAAGTACCTGAAGCGCTGCAGTGCAACTAAGTGATAATCAATGATAAAGTGTGCACACACCAAGCTTTTACCATGCCTGTGATGGCTTTGGCAGGCAGCAAATCAGTGCCGCGATACATATCCTGATATGTGCACACCTTTGTGTTTGCTGCTGCTGTGACGTCCTGTTAAAAAAAACTGGAGCAAAACTCAATCAGAATTCCAGAGGGATGTGGCCAGTATGTGTACCTATAGCTAGTTTTTGAACAACTCTATAATAAATCACTGCATTGATATAGATCTGATACAGACTAGCATCAGTTGGAAGCAGCTTTGCGAGGCTGCCTCTTGGGTTTGGGAATGGGACATGATATAAGGTTCACCTAAACGGTGTCATCCTGCTCTCGCCTCTGAGTCAGATGGTACCAATCCCAGATTGGAACTTGGAATCACATAGTCTAAGATGACTATGCAATGCAGTGCTGGGGAATGTTGTATCCTATGAACGAGATGTTAAAACTGAGGTTCGGTCTGCCTGCTCAGGTGGATGTTAAAGATCCCATGGCCCTGTTCGAAAAGACAGGGGAATTTCTCCCGGTGTTCTGGCCAACAGATGCCCCGAATGGCTGTTTGTGGGACATTGCTGTGCGCCCACGAAATAGACAGTCAATCCACTTTATAGTACATCCTGTGAAGTGCTCTGACAGATTCTGATGACTTGATAAGGCACTATATCAAAGGCAAGGATTGTTATATTATTATAAAACCGTCTGGTACTAACCTTGCAAAGTCCAGGTCTGCCTCTCGAGACATGGTGATGTTGGTGAGGTTCTGCTGAAGAACGAAGATGTTCCGACACATCTTTTTGATCCCCGATTCACTGATCCGCTTGAAATACTGGGCTCCGTTGATCAAAATGCAGGAAATCAAATGGCCCAGGCCTATGTTTAAAGAATGAAAAACAAACATGGAAATCATTTGTTTACTTTCTCTTAAACAAAACGTTATACTTGTTTCCACCCGAGGAACAATATGAAAAAAGGGCATTGGTTCATTCTGCTCATTCTGAATCTTCTAGGTTCACATTATAGGTCTGAAACAGTCCATTTAATCTCTTCCTTGCTTCAGTACCCAGCTTGAATCCCTTGAACCTCTCTCCCTCCCTCTGTCAAGAGGTTGGTTTTAATTGCTTTCACAGAACATGTGCTGTTAACAGAAGATCACAGTGCTTAATGCAAAATGAAGAAACTACACCTTTATGTCCTAAGGCTCACAGCTTATTTTCCTACATTTCTAACCAGGACCCTGTCTCTTTTGTCCTAAACATTTCTCCATCCATTTCAGCATTGCACCTGGAGTAAATAAATGATGCAGTGTATCTACTGCAAAGTAACTGGGGGATTCCAGAGATTCTTAAATCATTGAAAGACAAAATGAGTAGCGATTTTTCCATAAGCTCAAAAACAGCACGGGCATGGGGTACAGGCTGGCCAATACATTATCTTGGGCAGGGTTTACAACAGTAAAGACAAGTAGTGAATATCCTCCTCTCCTTCCAAAAATCATTAAACCTTGGGAACCAGAGAGTAAGAGCCCATTCAGACTCTCGATCAGTTTTCAGTTCAATAATACTTTGTTCCTAAATTCTGTAATTATGATCGGATAAACATGCTAGTAACAATGCATCAAGTGTTTACCTATTAGCAGTCTATCCTATTTAGACTTCTTTAATTCATGCTAAAGCATGCAATTGGAAAGTTAAATGTCGAATGGATACTTGCCTGGATCAAACATGTTCTCCCGGGTGAAAACAGTTTTACAAGTTAGATGTCTCAACAAGGCAAGTAGCGACTTGGCAGCAGATGTTTATATGTATTTTATCAAGTCATTGCTCTTGTGAATTTTACTCGTATTCCTCTTAACCTCAAAGTCCTCTGTATCTTCACTATGTTGAAATCAACATTCAATGCACCACCTACTCACCTAACTCATTCTTTTCCTGTAACTCAAGCCTATGGAATTCCTCATCTTTCTTTCTTCCTGCAATATTCAGACTTTTTAGAACCTAATCACTAATTCTCAACTTATCCAGTTTTCTCTCTTTCTCTACTCTTCGATCTTGCTGAGGCCTTGCACAATTGGTCATGTTCCTTCTCCTAGATTTCTTTATTGACTGCAGCAGTGCTCCCCCTTTAAATGGTTCTTTTAACCCTTGTTTCCTTTTCACTTTGTGCTAAGTTCTTAACTTTCGCTTGAAAGGATGCCTTGTTGGAAGGGAAAGATGGATGACACAGAAAGCTCAGATGTGACATTCAATATGAAACCCATTGTAAGGCTTTGCATAAAATTAGTTGATAATTAAGTTGGTCAATCAGCATAACAGTAAATGACTGTAGTTCAATAATGGAGGCGTAGTTTGTAAGCCAGTGACAGTAATCTCTTCTGACTCCTACAGTGATGGCATTAATTTATTTTTTGAGTGCGTCGGCTGCTGGAAGTCAATTAACACCAAGGCATCTTCGTTTGTCACTAGATTTGCTTATACTGATTCAAACTCATTTACCTTCAAAAATGTACTGGAACTTGTGTTGCTGCAGGCTGCCGCTCATCACCTCCTCGATGGCGCTGATGTCTTTGTTCAATCGCACCACGAGTGGGTCATAGTCCATGCTCTCCACGTTAGCAACGATGGCATAGTTGCTTTGCTTTGCGAGGGGGATCAGGTAGTGAAAGCAGTGAACTCTGAGGAGACAAGGAGGAACGGTGAAACCTCTGCAGAACAACTCGCCAATTTGCCGAGCGCCTTGAAGAAACGTTTATCAGCTGTGGCTCATCTTTGATGTTGAGTTGTTGAGAAATCCCATGAGCACTGATATCATGGCTTTCAAAACCTTCATTGAAGTCTCTATTATCAGCACTCAGTGTTGGGCTAATGAGAAGCGTGTCTCAGGCTTAATTAACACTTATTTGTAATCAGTTAATCGGAAATCATAAGTTGGTAATGATCACCTCTGGGGCTGGTTATTATTGAATAGACATCTTATCTGCACCACGGTGGTAATATTGAGGACGACCAGAATAGTCAAAGGCCGATTTGAATAAATTCGCACATCTGCTGAATTCCAAATCACATTCTTTGTCCACACCCACACACATACATCAAACAAATTGCATTTATACAGCCCCTTTCACGTCAGGAGGATGTCCCAAGGAGCTGGAAATACAATGGTTCCATTTGTAAAATAACATCATTGAGACGAAACATAATGTTTTAACTCTTCCAGCGTTACAGACATTTATTCATACGGGTACTGTTTTCAGGCTTTGGCTGTTGATGGACAAGTCGACTGTTTTGGCAGCCTTTCTCCCTCACCTGCCTTGCAAAAATGAGACAAATTGATGTGGTCTCATTTATGATGCCATGTCAATCACCAATGTCTGATTTGCTAAATAAAAGAAACCTGGATTCCTGACACTGGCTGTCTTCCATACCCAGAGGGCAAGGGTAAGTATAACAAGAAGGAAGCTTATTTCACACAAAACATTTGCTATATCGGTGTGTCTTCTGAATAACATCAGATAGCACTCAGTGAATCTATGACAAAATGAAACTTCATCCTAACAATCTCTGAAACAGTGTCAAGTGTCTAGCACCTCTTTTGATAAGTGATCAGTGAGTCAAGTCTCTTACTGCAGAACTATGATTACATAGATTTTTTTTAATAAGACCACTGGAGGCTGATGGTGCACTTAGTCCACTCCTCTATTCTTTTCTGTTTGCCCTTGTGGTGGCCACACCCATGTCTTGATATAAGGGCAATAGGTTAAAAAATAAATGAAACAAAAGAACCAATTAATCTGTAATTTAGGGTAGAAATGAACATTCCACCAAATTCTTCACTAACTGTCGGGGATTATTTTGTCTCCATTTGTCGCCTAGTTTTACAGAATTCTTAGCTTTATTGATGTGAATTTGGAATAGGCAGACTCAACGACACACTGCATGCGATACGTAGGTCTGAGTTGGAATGGGAGGCCTGACAAGTGTCGGTTAGGCTAACTGTTACTGGACACTGTATTCAGTATGTTATTACTGAAAAGTGAAGAAGGCCAGCTTTCCCCTTACGATCGAGAGACACAGAAATTAAAATGATGGTATTGAAAAGAAAAGGAGGAACGTGAAATTAGAAGTTGGGGCAAACAAATCCGTTAGTAAAGCTCCTGGAAATATCAATGATGATTTATATTAAAACGACCAACTGTCTCACCAGCAGAGGACCTTTTGTTGTAATTTTCTCATTTACCAATTTTTTTCACTCAAACTCATCTCCTGACGGAACTGACTCTGGGTACGATTCCGCTGGTTGTTGATCAATACTTGGCAACGTAGCGGTTGTTCATGTACAAGTCCTACTGTTGAACTCAGCATGTTGCTGCTACGAATCGCCCAACATCAGGAAGTGGGAATAAGTGGCTGGTATTCTCTTCCAAAGACAAGGCTGCTATTCTACTGTTGCTACTCCAGCTAAGATCGGGTGACTTCAGCCCAGAACTGGGACCTTCTCCCGCTTGTATGACTCGGTTCCTCACTGAGTAACTGATGCAGTTTCATCAATTTGGTGCAGTAATTAGACATAAGAAAAATCCATATTTACTTAGTGACAAACTACGAATGAGTCCAATTTGCAGGCGGTCAGTGAGGAAACAAAATGAAACCTCAAACAACACATGTGTGGAGATAGCATACCTGACCTCCAGATGCAGGGCCAGAAGGCAGCGGTCGGCCATATCTTGGAAGGACCTTGCAAGATCATTGAGAGTCTGCATAATTTGTTCGGACACTGGAGGAATGTCCATGTTTACATGAACATCCTGACCTGGAGAGAGAGCTTTGAGAAAATTGGAACACGGAAAGTAATCACAAAGAAACCAAGTTAAAAAAAAAGTTCCGCTGTGCTAAAAACGTCCAGCGTTACCTCTGTACTTCCACCTTGCCCCCTCCCTCCCCACCTTCAAATCCCATCTAACGACCTTGGTTTTTGATCGTGCTTACGGTCGCCTCCCCTCCCTCCCTCTCCCCTTGGCTCGGGGTCAGACTCCGCCACTGTCAAGCGCTCCGGGATGCTACCCTGCATGAAAGGCGCTATATAAATGCAAGTCGTTGTTGTTGTTGCACTTAGAATTGTGTCAAGAAACCTGAAGATTGGAGAGAACCAAAACAACAATGCCATTAACTGGGAGCATTTCATTTTCAATTGTGCATGTATATTCAACACACTTACACAGTTGGTCTGTGGTAACTCCAGTTTCCCATTGAGATTGTTAGCATATGGGTGTTTCGTCCACAAAATATACAGTCAATTCACTTTACAGTATATTCTGTGAAGCGCTTTGGGACGTCTCGAAGATGTGATAAGGCGCGATATCAGATGCAAGGATTATTATTATATCACTGATGGTGAGACAACAAATGTATCTCCCCTCAATCACAAAGATGAACTGGTTGTTTGGAACAGATGTCCAATTTAGGAACCTGAATAACAATAATCATTACACTTGATTTTGTGCCTTTAAAGTGACGCTAAGTCAAATGCAAGGTTTATTATTATATTATTAACTTCTCGGCTATCACTGCAGGTGGGAGATCACAAAAACAAACAAACATCACTTGGTTTTGCTCTGCGGTTTTTGTGAATACAATGTTCTTCCCCCAATGTCATTTTGCATAAACTGCTGAGATAGAAGTCAACAAACAATCAAGGTGACTCTGCAAGGTTGAGCCTCTGGAAGATTGGTTCTTATAAATCAATGTAGCTTTAAATGAAAATTCATGGTATGAAAGAAAAAAAAACTAACCATACTCCTGCACTTCTTTTTCCCCTATACAAACCCATTTATGGAATAATACACTTAAATGCTCCTCGTCCTTGTGATCTTGCTATCACAATATCTGTATTGAAATACACACGGATCATTTGATAGGATCACAGAGGATTCAGAGTCTGCCATGGACATGTTACTCACTCTGACCTTTTGCATTCATTGAATGCTGTCCAATAGGAAACCACGAGTTTGCTTTCCTCCGACAACAACAAATGATGCACTAATTGAAAAGCTTTTGGCAACTCCGTTAAAAATGCGCAGAAGTAGAAATGGCTCCTTTGGAACAGTTAGGAAGAGTTCTTAATTTTCGATGTGGAATATTTTTAATTGAAGTTGCGCCTTACTATAGTCGTGTATCTTTGAGGCTGGCAAAGCTGATAAAAAAAGGAAGTTGAATCAACTTTATTATAGTAGTATTTTACACACAGAAAGGAGCCGGTCAATCCATCAAGTCGCCTGGTTCACATTTGAAAGAATTTATAGACTCTGCTTCATCTATGGGTTATGACAGAGAATTCCACATTCACCTGAACCCACATTCCATATTCACTACAAAATACAGTCACCTCACATCATGGTAAATATTCTGTTTTGAGACATCTTCTCGGTGTGAATGGTACTTATATCAAATGCAAGAATTATTAGTATTATTATCAACCATCCTCTAACCTATTAGTTCAACTCTGTGTGCATTAATTCTGTCTCTTCCCGTTGTTGGATTCAATGGTTCTAGCAACGATTTAATCAGCAAGGAGCTTCAAAAGGTATATTTTTGTTTAAGATCAGCAGAAGTAAGATAGAGGGAAAAATACTGAACAAGGACATCAAAGAACCAGAGTGGATAAATATGTTTTATACATCTTTATGTATTTTTAAGATAGTATTCAGCTTGACAGATCACTCAAGACTTTTTTCAAAGGAAGTTAAGGAAAAGCTGTTGCTGAACCTTTCCTCCAGCAGATGTCGCTAATTCACTTGGTATAGAGTGAACTGCAGAAAATTTTCAAAGTGATATTACTAATCTTAAAAGCAAGGTTAGTTACTAAGTTAAACATACTCTAGGGTTATTCTTTTCTCTCCAGAAAATGGTGGAAGACACAAATCTAACACATCTTTCCAAAAATAAATTCAACTTGCATTTATATATCCTTGCCTGGGTGGTATATCAAATGTTGGCCATTGCCTTGCCATCAAAGTATTACCTCCATTATGCTGTTGCAGTCCACTGATAATTCGTTCCATTGTATCTCAGATTCCAGGTCAAGCACACTTAGACATCTCAAAGCATTTACGTGATGCAGCAATATTGGATATAAAGAAGAACTCACATCTTCATTGTGCCTGATCATGTCTAAATGTGCTTTACTTTTACTGATATTTTACTTTTACTGATAGAATTGTGAGCTCAAGGCAACATTGGCTTGAACCCACAACCTTCTGACCAGAAGTGAGACCAACAAAACCCAGCAGACACTCATACATAAATATTGATGTGCGATTAAAACCGAAGGCTCTTCTGCCTGCCCTGTTGAGGATTGATTGCAAATCACAAAATGTATCCTGGTATCCTAACAAACTTTCCCCCGAGAAAGAATTTGGTGCATCTAGCTTTTCTGCCCATCTAGCTCTCAATTTATATAAACCTTACTGAGAAATGCCGGTTAAATATCTGCAAAGTAATTAGATTTTACAAAGAAATCACTGAGCTAACTACAGCAAGAACAATTTACATTTATACGGCACGTTTCCCACTGGGAGGTCATCTCAATGCAATACAGCAGCATATTTCAATACAATACAAAATTACATTTGTATAGCGCCTTTCATATTGTGAGGACGTCCCAAGGCGCTGGAGTTACAGTTACGGAGTTGTTGGGTTGAAGTTTGGAAATAATTTATAATCATCAAATTCCCATTTGTTTTCAACCTCTGAGTGAGTGCAAGGGAAATGGTGATATCATCAGGTTTGTAGAAGTAATTAAACATTGTTTGCATGCTGTGCTTTGACTACGCAGAATACTGTGAGGACATGTTCCCACTGCAGTTTCTGTAAGAACACCTGTCCTACCTCTACAAGCTCTGCAGATATAAATAAAATGAAAACCAATTTGAAAACATCAAAGATAAGATGACAGCTCAGTTCCTCCCATCAGCTCAGTAAATAATGATAATGAACAGTAAAGTGACTGTCGTCAGTGATAAAATGCCCGCTGAATACCATTAGAATTTATTTGCGTGAATTAATTTAGTCTCGGGTATGCGTACTGTGACCATTTAATGAATTCTTACACATGAACAGCAAAAACGGAACATCCCACTCCTGCTACAGAACATAAATTCAATCTAATTGGCAAATGAATTATAATAGTACAAGTTTCACCTGAAAAGTTTGCCTGCTCACCCATCTAAATTCTGTTCAGCAATGGCATATTGATGCATTTTTTTTTGTTGGATGTCACCTACTGGGGTAAAATGTTTGCAGGATGGGTTAACTACGTGCAAAGGCCGATGTACAGAGAATCGCGGGAGCTGTGAGTTATGTAAACCACTAGCGACGAGGAATCCAAGTGATTCTGTAATGTTACTTTGCTTGTTAATTACATAATTGAAGCCACCTGTATGTGCGTGCACAGTTAACCCAAACCTGCAATGTCTGTGCATGGGTTGTTAACCCAACTTGCAAATTAGACCCCATAATGTTGGAACACTGCACATTAATTACATCTGTTTTGTTGTTACATTACCAAATGGTTCCAATTATGAGAGCATCTTTTAATCACCTACCTTCTCCTCATTTGAACTCCCATTTAAGAATGTAATAAACCTTGCTTTTGATATAGTGCCTTATCAAATAGATGAAACATGTGGAGTCCTGTAGCTCAGTGGTTAGAGCACTCGCCTCGCCAACGAGAGAACTGGGTTTGATTCCTGGGCGGGGTGAGACGTTAGGCACGTTTCCTTACTCCACACGCCTCTGTTTACCCAGCAGTAAGTAGTAACCCAGTTGTTAGTCGACTGGCAGTTCGCTTTTCTGAGGGTAACAACCATTCAAAAATAACAATAAAAAATTTGGTCGCTCAATCCACGACTGTTTGTGGGACACTACTGTGCACAATTGGCTGCCGGGTTTCACCCACAAAATACACAGTCAATTCCCTTTAAAATATATTCTGCGAAGTGCTTTAAGACGTCTCGAAGACGTGATAAGGCGCTATATCAAATGCAGGGATTATTATTATTATTAATATCTCAAAGCGCTTCAGAGGATTGCTATGAAGTGAGTTCTACTGGGTGGGGGAGGTGATGCCTGTGGGGATATTGGCTGAGGACAGGATTCGGTTTCCCTTTGTGGTCAAAAAGCCTGCTGACACAATCAAGTCTCACACATGAATCTAAGGCGAGATACCAGATGGTCAGGGAACCTTAATTCAGTGAAAAATAAAAAATGAGTTAAATACCTTCAGGAGGCGGTAAATTGCAAAGAAAGCTTTTTCTCGTTCTACTTTATAGAACTTCTTTATAACATCCAGCATCAGAATTGCAATAGCTCACAGCAAAGTATAGCTGGCCCAGAGAGACTTATTTGATAGCCAAAGTTCACGTCGAAAGGAAATGTGGTATCAATATGGGATGATTTGTGTTACTCAGATGGTAAAGGCTCTCTCTGTACAGAAATCAGTGATCCGACAGAAGCCAGAAGCTCATTGATGTGGGTAATTTGTTGTCCCATCAAAGTCAGATCAGAAATCCACCAAAGAAACAAAGACCTTTAACTCTTGTATTGCTGACTGTTCTCGTCCAGCTTTCAAAAACAGTTTCAAACAGGATCTGGACAAATAATCTTCTAAACCAGTTTTAAACAGGAACCTCGCCATGGCCGCCCGGCCTATCCTGTGACAGGGGCGGTCCTCGTATAGACCAGAGGCCTCTGCGATGCATCTGAGCATGTGACCCCAACCTCCGCTGAGCGCCCACACCAGTCACAGCACCCCCTTGTGGCTGGGGAGTACACCTATGTCTACCGTTCCATTCTAGATAACTCATCGCTGAGCTCGTTTCCCTTGGAGTAGTGAATTATCCAGATTTCACGTATTTTCTTTTAAAACATGTCTTTTCTATAACTCTAACCTTCCTCACTAGCCAACGTACTTTGATCAGACCCCATCTGGAGTTTTGGGCACCACACCTCAGGAATTGGTTCTGGAGAGGGTGCAGCATAGATTCACCAGAATGATACCAGGGCTTAAACGGTTAAATTACGAGGGCAGGTTGCATAAACCTTGTCTGTATTTTCCTGATTTTAGAAGGTTGAGGGCTGATCTGATTGAGATGTTTAAAATGGTAAAGGGATTCGACAGGATAGCCACAGAGAAACTATTTCCTCTGGTGGGGGAATCCAGAACAGGGGAGGGGGGGGGGGGGGGGCATCATCTTAAAATTAGAGCCAGGCCATTTAGGAGCAAAATCAGGAAGCTTTTTTCTCAAAAAGATTAGTGGAAATCTGGAACTCTCTCCCCCCAAAGGATGTGGATACTGGATCCATTCAAATTTTCAAGACTGAGGTGGATAGATGTTTGTTAGTTCAGGGTATCAAGGGATATGGGGCAAAGGCGAGTAAATGGAGTTGAGGTACAGGCCAGCCATGGTCTCATAGAATGGTGGAACAGGCTCGAGGGGCTGAATGGCCTACTCATGTTCCCATGTTCCTACCTGGGACACTGCACGATGGCATTGCAAAATAACAATTCTGACTCACAAAAATTGTTATGATCAAGAACATTAACTAAAATAGCACTGCTTTGCACTAAAAGGGTTATTACTGCAGGTTCTAATTTATTGTAATTTACGTTAGGGGAAGAAGAAAATGACTTGCGAAGCCTTAAAAAAAAATCATTTTTCTTTTCTGAATAACCTAATAAAATGAAATCCAATTTCAAGCAACTCAAGATAAGACGACAGCTAAGACTTCCATCAGCTTGGCAAACAGTAATAATGAACAGTGCAGTCACGGTTATTGGTGATAAAGCACTCCTATTAGCTTTTCTGTTTTAAATTAATGTTAATTATAGCAAGCACACAGTAATGGGCTATTGAGTTTTTAATCGGTTTTAAGAGAGTGGTGGTAAATATGCCAAGAAAATGTCGATGTCTTCTGTTCCTTATATTTATTGAAGTGAAGACATTTCCAGCCAAGCTTCCATGAAAGAAATTTCTCCAGATGACTTGCCAGTCATCGCAATGTTGGCAGACTTTGCCAGCAAGAACGCTTTATTGATTTAAAACGCGGATCGAGGAAACGCACCCCATTCCAGCACATTATACATGATTTGCATGGTTTGCACTGCTAGAATCATTTAAGCACTAGAGATAAGCAAACATCCAGTTCTAATTAAGTCTAAAATTTCTCTCTGACTCACCCCCCCACACAGGTGATTGAACAGAGACTCGAGGATCTCACTCTCGATGGCACTGAACCATGTTCAAAAGGACTAGATCTAGTGTACGGCAAAGAATCTGATTATCAATGACTTTTTAACTCTAATATTCAATTCTCTGAACCTGATATCACTGCAGTTTCTTTTTAAAGGACTTAAACTGATGGGGTGTAGTCTGGGCCATGAGTATACCATGTGTAAACCCACGGATATCATGCGGCAGGTATAAATGCAATTTGAGTGTGTGATTAACATCCAGCGAAATGGGTTTATTATATAATTATCAATTAATTTCATTAAGAATTGAGGACACCTGTAATTATCTCTACACACATGGATAACACGTGGTGCATAATACTCCTGTGCTGACACATTGTGCACCAAAGTTTAGTTCATCCTATTTCCAACAGCTGATGCAAGTCCTTTCCACTAATGTACAATGTGCTGGCCAAAAAAGAGCCTGGTCTTATTCGGTCATTTACCCACGCCCTGTCCTCCCTCAGTGGCTGCCTTGAAGTTGATCTGTTCTGTGGCTGACAGTATCACCTGCAGCTACTGTGAAAGTGGCAAAGTGTGTGGGCATACTTCAGCCAAAAAGCAGCCCGAGCTATCAGCCACAGAGAGTTAATAGCAGAGCAGTAAATTTAGACAAGCACCCCAGGGAGTAAAACAATAACAACAACAAACCAGCTTCATATAGGGCCTTTCACGTTGGTAAGACATACAAAATTATGTGCATGGTATCCATCTACACAGCGTGGAATGAGAAATTTCTTTGGCTTTTGACATTGCTGTGTGCAAAATTGCCTGTCGTATTCATCTCTAACATAGTCACTACAACACCTTGCATTTATATAGCTCCCTTCACACAAGGTAGCATCTCAGAACCCTATACTTTACAGAAAACCCTGTGAAGTACTTTTGACGTATCCTCCTGGCACGGAAGATGTAATATCAAATATAAGGATTATTATTAGTATTGTTACAGTACTGGTACATGTGTAGGGGTAGGAGGGGTAAAACAGGGAGAACTGTACCCCAAGCAAAAAGAAGCGGTTGAATTGATAATGAGAGTTTAGAACTCACAGCAGCAGAGATTTTGTATCCAGTCATTCTAGAGTTAGCGCCCGCATTTTATCACTTACATTTCAAAGTGACAAAAAGGTGTAAGCAATACAAATAAAGACTAAAGCTTCACTGACATGAATTATTATCTCTGCACGAGTGTGAAGGAGCCTCGAATCGAAGCAGAGCCATTTACGTTAGTATGAAGTTAATCTTAATTTGGTTTACTTCTGTACTACAAATGGGACATATCAATGCTGATCTAAATCAATGAGGATTTCATAAGAGGGAGAGAAACTTACACTGCGCTGTAGGTAGACTGGAAAAGAAGCTCTTTAACCGGCCTGCTAACCATTCCAGGCTCTCGTGCAGGTTTGCCAAGGCTTTCAGGTCACTGACGTCTCGAAGGATCTCGTTCTGTGGTATCAGTTTGTCACCTAAATTTCCTGTCAGGACCTCCGACTCCTTAGCATTGGCAGCTCTGCGTATAACATACATTTTAAAATAAATGACTCATTTGCACAAGGAAATAAGATCTGAACATAACATAATATAATCAATATTGAAAACATTTTACAATTTGTTTCAAGAACAAATTCGATAAATTTCTGTGAGAAAATAATATCTCGGGATACATTATATAGGTTGGGACATGGCATGTTCATGCCACCATCAGGATGGTGGGAGGTGAACCTTGGTCTTCTTTTGCCGAGCAAATTCTTATGTTATGTTCTTAAATGATTCCAAAAAAAAAACTGGATTATAGAGCGCCCATGTTGCTAAAATCAATTGAACTAGCTGGCAATTCAATAAAACAAACACAGAAGTTACAGAAAAGCCACTCTGAAGTAACCCTCCCCGCCACCGAAGATGAGGGAATATTCTTATCATTTGAGTATCACTGAGGACAAAATAAAGTGTTGGGGTATGAGAGTATCAGTATCAAACATTTTAAAAGAGCCAATAAATCTTGCGTTTCTCCTTGATTCTGGAACATATCTGTTCTTCCAATCCCGTCGATGTGCGGAGGTAGCCAAATGAGGAAGCAGGATGTTAAAGAGGTGGAACATACATCTACAAGCATTCTGCTGTGTGACGAGGCATACTCTGATCTGGTGTCTGAGTTCCTTAAACCAAATTCATCAGTAGCTTTTGAGTGCCTACGCTCTTCCTTGCATTCTGAAATGAGTACTAGAAAAAAATATTCCACCCGAGGCAGAAAAGGAACAGAGATATTAGAACATTTGTCGGGTTTGCTGGAAGAAGAGGTTAAAAAAAGGGGAACATCTGTAGGACATTACAAAGTCCATCAACTCAATGTGATGATCGATTTGGCACAATCAGGCCTTTTCGTTGAAGCTGAAAAGCTTCATCTCAACTGATGCCAGCGTTCAAATGAGTTGCCGCCTTGCCCCAGACAGGTGGCTTTCAAGTTCATTTACTGCCTCTTGTGCTGTGGTGTTGAGAGAATTAGCTTCAATTAGCCATAAGCGAGTCATGAATATGAATCTTCATGCCAGTGAACTAAAGTCCAACAGAAAAGATAAACTATTTGAAAACATCGACTGTATTTTTCAATTGCAATTTTTGCAATTTGCAATTCTGTTGAGCGAGAGGATTGCTTTGGCAAATTCCCAACTGAAGATTGATAAGCTGTAAAGTCAGCAAATAAGGGGAACTGGAGCAAATATAAGGTGCAAACAGCTTTTTAATAGGTCAAAGGTGGAGGAATAACCTTTTTTCTGTCATAAATCCATATTACTGCAACTTTCGGGATTAACAGTGACGCTGTTTGCTCTGGCTCCGCAGAGACTCAGCTAATGAATTTGGTCAGCTGTTGTCCTACTGCAAGATGCTTATTGTTATGACGAGTGACCTTTGGTATGGTGAGTGTATCAGTTGCTTTAGTGATCTAAAAGTGGAGGAAAATAACTGGCACAGATAGACTGCAAGCAGAGTGGAGCAGTGCACATCAATTAGCATATTAGCAACTGCCCTGCAGCCCTCAATCATATTAAAACAAAAATTGCTGACAACTTACTAACAATGGGGAGTTGATCTAACACTTGGCCTGGGCTAGCCAGAGCCATTTAACCTTTAGCTCGCAACCCCACCCCCCCCAATATTCTCACTGTCCCCGAATAAAATAGAGCCACATCATGTCAGCAAGTACGATTAATCACTTTTACTCTGTGCCTTTCTGAACAGTTCAAAGAGATTTCTATTTCAGGCTGTGACAGGTTGATAAATGGAAGGATGGCCCGAGTGAGAGAAGGAGAAATGTAAGTCACTGTGCTGTCGTGTGTGTGCGTTTTGTGATGATCAAACTACTCCTGACCCTGTGACCTTGTAAAATACGACATGCTCTTGGGGACATTTGTAATTGTCATCACTTTCTGTGGTGGGGGGAGGAGGGAGAACATGTCAAATTCTGTAAACTACTTATTATAGATCTCCGGGACGCTACCCCATGTGAAGGGCGCTATGTAAATGCAAGTTTTTCTTGTAGATCATGTACTTTCTATATTTCTTTTCCAGGAAGCTTTTGCTGGGGTGGGTGGGGGAAGATCAGCAAAACTATAAGCTTGCCAAAAGGATGCCACCTATGTTTACCCACTTAATTCTGCTGGATGACTGATGCCACTTATGGCCCATTTTTTGTGATCAGCTCCCTGACCACCTATTTGTTCCTCGTTGCACATACACAGCGTTAACAGCTGGGCAATGAGAAATGTTGGGCCTTGACTGGTCGTTCAGCAACACGTGATAAGGAAACAATTCAGATGCTCGCCTCAAATCTGATGCTGATCACGACCAGGACTTTATTGTACCAGGTCCGACATGTAGCGGTCACATAATTAAACGCATTCCCTGTGGTTAATTATGTGACTACTTTTATGGTAGTTTTAAATACACTGACAGAATTATTTCCTGTTAATCACCTACAAACTTCTCCCCCAGCTCAATGGATTGCCGCTAGTTTTGATCTGAAAGCCTGCTGGATTGCTGCTGGGTTCATTTCCGTTATCGAATATCTCTTCTGATTGGCATCCAGGATCAACGAAATGAAACCCAACCCTTGGCCATTCATCTCTGCTGTGTGATCAAAAAGGTTGCTGATCACTCCTGACTACACAGAAGTCACTTGGTGATGATTCCAGATGGTAGGGAATGAGTAGTATAAGCTGTTCTGTTATCTTGGGGCCAAACAACATCTGGAACTATTCAAGCTTCATTCTGCTTTATGATATCACATGAGCCAAACGATTAAATTACTGCCTTATTATGGGCTCCCCGATATGCGTCATGTGAAAGTGTCTTTGGCCAGACAACCTGTTGAACATGTGAAAGGCAAGTGCAAATTTTGGTAAGAACTAGTTGGGCTGAATGGCCTGTTTCCATGGCATATCGACAGCTAAATCATTTAAGAAATATCCAACCATGGGAAAACGGTTGTGTTGATACACTAGAAGGATTTGATCAAATGTACATAATCGCTGTGTGCCGTGTGATTTACCCATTACATTTTTCTGAATTGAAGTTAATTTAAAACTATTTAATTTTATCTTTTCTCCTGTGATTTGGGTCCCACTGTCTATTGTGGGAGGACTTTGGGAACAACTGGTTGAAAAACGGATCCAATGCCTGCCTTTTCAGCCAACGGAACTAGAAAGAGTAACCTGGCCCCATCATAAATATAACCAGGTCAATTTTTGATGTGTTTCACGCATCAGTTTACAAAGGACTACAGCACATCTATTTTTCTCATCTCTGGAGCTGTAGCCCATCACGTGTGGATGATACACTTCAACCGTGCCACAGGAAGGGTTAAAATGGCAATTGCACTTTGTACTGAAGAAAACAGCAGAAATACTCTGAACCCACTGCAATTTTCGAATACTTTTTTTTTGGACAATTGCCACTTTTAGAGTAAGGGAAAGAACTTTCATCTTTCTCTGCCAGATGACAGCTGGACTGTCTCGAAGCCATTAAGCTCCTCTCTCCTCCTTTTGGGACATCAAACAATCCCACATTCGGGAGTCTGAGTTGAGTGCGAAAGTCTTAATTGACGGTCTACCTGGTGAGATCTTCCTCATCTTCTCGTTTAGGCCTGAGCTGTCGCGGCTGGGCCATGCTTGTCCAGTTGGGAAGGGATGTCAGCAGTCGGCTGATATCTTCGTCCTTTGCCCAAGAAGCACTTATGATGAGCTTGTCTTCTGACTGAACTATACTCCTGCATTGAGAAGAGAGAGATCTAATTAAACAGCGTTCATCTTCTTCAAGCGTACTTCAGGTAGTACTTGAGTCCGAATACTGGATAGTTTTTTTTCCCATTTAATGAACAAAACAATAAACACATTTAGCTCCCACCCCACCCCCCACAGCAGACCAATTATCCAAACTATGTTAACTACGATTGTGTTAAGTGAGCATCATTGGTAGAATTGTGAATTCACTTTACAGTGTATTCAATGAAGCGATTTGAGACGTCTCGAAGACGTGATATAGCGCTACATAAAATACAATTATTATTATTATATATGTAGAAAACATTGCACGAACAAAATAAAGATTATAATTCAATTTCTTACGTTCACTTTGTAATGATGGAAAAACGGCCTAAAAGACAACTGGATGAAAAATAAATGATTGTAAGATAGTGTCTTGTGCAGCAGCACTGAAAGGCCTTTCTTAGCAATGACAATAGCATCTGGCAATCTGCTCCGACACACTACACAGGAGGCATCTGAAATCTTCGGGCGCTCTTTAGACCCAACCATTATACTGAGTGTTTCATCTCCATGATCTGTCAATAATCATCAACTGGTGTGACTGCAAGTTAAGTCAATCATGTTATAATTGCATTTTTCATCCAAGAACTGCAAATGTAATTGCACATGGTGTGTAATATTACAAAAACCCAGTAAAATAGTGGCCTCAGATATAGCATGGATAACTGTGGGCTGCATTCCAGTCTAAATGTTGAGGGTGTTTTCTCTTCGATGGTTCATGTTTCTGTACTTGAAGTTCAGATCATTGGAAGACTGAAATATTCAATCTAAAGTGTATCAAGCGCCTGCTCACACTCAAGGAAACACAGTGCAGCCCATAAACATGGCTAATTTCATTCACATAAGAATGGTTAAACTCAAGATTATCTCTGATATTCGATAAAAGAGAAGAGAATGTCTCAAGATCCTGGCCAACAACCCCCCAGATAAAATTCACTTCATGTTCGTGGGACATTGCTGTGTGCAAACTGTCTGCTTACTTTGCCTAAAAAATAATTAGTGCACCTTACAGTAAATCCTGTAAAATATTTGCAATGTAATTTTTGTTGTTTTGAGACGTTCTTCTGAAGCGAAAAGAACTATATAGAATGGAAGGATTATTAATTCCCTAATGTGGAAAAAAACTGACAAATTCTGCTCTCAACCCAGACGTTTTAATATGCTAGCAATCTTTTTTTAAAAAAAACTCTAGTTTCACACTGTAATAAAATGCACAACAGTGTAATAACTAAAGTATTCCTTCAGCTCATATTTCACAACCTATCCATTTCATTGTTTTTTCCCTTTTATAGTTTCATTAACCCAGGAGAACGGACAAGTGAGTCTGTTTTGTTCCTTCTTTTGTTCACTCAGTTTGATATAATGGTTACTTGTTGGGAGTAGCTGTCGAGTCCTGCAGCCCTTTTTGTTTTATTTAATTCAATACGTTTTCTTTCTCTGCTCCATTTGGCGCACTGTCTGCACTGTTAGGAGCTGTGACAAGATACCTTGCGTGCCTGAGGGGGAGCTGTTTCCACACTACATCACAAGCTGTGAAATGCTTCAGTAAGTTCTTGGGCTCTTAACCAAAAGCAGACAATGCAAGGCACGTTTTTGACAAATTCCTACTTTATATTTTGGCGACCCAGGAGTCTGATTTAGAATCATCAGATCCGGTCTTACTTAAAAATCCAATAAAAGGTTTTTAGTGGTTCAGCAAATGGGGACCTTGGCGTGTGGAGTGTTAGTGGTTAGAGCACTCGCCTCGCAAGCAAGGTGACTCGGGTTTGAGTCCCAGGCAGGATGAAACCTTAGGCAAGTTTCCTTATTCCATACACCTCTGTTTACCTCGCAGTAAGTATCAACCCGGTTGTTAGTCGATTGGCGGATCGCTTTTCTGGGGGCAATAATCCTTTCAAAAAAATTTAATTAAAAAAAAATTGGTCACTCAATTCACGACTGTTTGTGGGACATTGCTGTGTCCAATTGGCTGCGGTGTTTCACCCACAAAATATACAATCAATTCACTTTACAGTATATTCTGTGAAGTGCTTTCAGATGTCTTGAAGAAAAAGCACTATATCAAGTCCAAGGATTATTATTATTATTGAGTCATGGGATGGAGGATATTGGAACCAAGACCCAAGGTCCTTTACAAGGTAAGCTACTTGTCAAGTGGAGGCGAGGGCTTTTCTCACATTGGAGGAGGGAAACTTACAGGTGGCAACTTTGGCTACTCTCAACTATTCTGTGCAGCCAGTCACAAAGCAACACCACAAGAAGACTGGGAGACTGTCATGTGGTATCTGAGTTAGAAATGATATACAGCACTGGGGAATGCATTTTGTTGCATCTTATTGCATTTCTCTCAATGTATTATTTGGAAGTGTAGGGAGTTTAATTAGATAGGTAAGTGTGGTAGTTTATCTGCACCAGCAGTCTCCCACAAATTACACCTGGCAGCTTTATGGCACCCTTCACATAGTTAAGTCTTGGAGTGCCTTACGGAGATGGCGCTTGAAGGGGTTTGGGAGAGAAGGAGGAGATGATTGTACACACAGTAAAAGATAGGTTTTTAGGTGATTTTGACAGATCGAGAGTTGGAGGGGTAGACGGAGGAAGTTCTAGATGTTGGAGGCATAGTGACTGAAGGCTCGACTGCTGATGGTTGGCTCAATTCCTGAGGGGGCAGGGGATGTGTAGCAAGCCTAAATTTGCAAAGCAGAGGGTAGACATGGCTCCTTAAGTTTTTTTAAACAAAATTTATGAGGGGATGTTGACTACTGGAAGAACACTTTACTCTTCTTCTAGTGATATAGAATCTTTAGTATACAGCTGAACGTAGAGTGGATGGGGAGGGTAGGGCTTGGTATAATGTGTTCAAAATATGGCACCTTCAAGAATGCAACACTTTTCCAGTACTGCACTAGAATGATTATCAGTCTTGATTTGGGGCTCACCTAAACTCCTGTGGGAAGTAAAACCACTATGTAGGTAAATCTTAAACCCATCTTCAAATGTAAAAGGATACTATGCTCAAAATCCTAACGATTTAATATCACAATCTAAAATGATTCAAGCAACCAGTTCCACTCCCCACATTCCCGAGAGAACTGGAACCCTGGACTCTAATGTATTTTTTATCAGCTTTATCTTTGTTCATCCTTATAACCTTCAATCCTGCCCTTAAACAGATATCGACCCTTCACTTCTTTACTTAGTCATCCAGTCCAATCCTATTTCCTCCCTTGGTTTGATTACTTCACAACTGCCTGGTCAGGAATGTAGCAAGTTTAGTTTCTTTGTGATCCTTGTCAGCAAATTACTATATGTTAGCTAAAATCGTGTAAACTCTATGAAGCACACTGAAATGCAGGTGCAGTAGTTAATCCATCTATGCGTCACATCTCCAGTATTTATTGGATGCAGCAAACATGGGCCAAATTTCCATTTTAGGCAATATTAGAAGAGTATTGGGGAAGGAAAGAGAATTTTGGAATTCGATCGGCAGAGCAGACTTATCAATGGTGCTGTTAGTATGTAGTTGGCATTGTGTAGTATTGGAGAGGTTTGGAGAGGTTTGGATAGACTCACTGTTATTATTCAGGTTGATAAATGCAACAACTTGCCAAAGAAGGAAAGCAATTCACCTCAGTTTTCCTCATCACAAAGCTTCTGAGGACACTGCTGTACGCAATTGGCTGCCATGTTTCGTCCACAAAATACACAATCATTCCACTTTACAATATATTCTGTGAAGCACTGTGAAATGTCTAAACAAAATGATAAGGCGCTGTATCAAATGCAAGGATTATTATTATTAAATGTCAACATTTCACAATTCCTCTTCGTATCTATGGCGCCTTCATCTAGTCTCAAAGTACTGGCCATTCCATGTATTTAATCTCCCTAGTCCTGTATCTCCTTTTCAGTTGACGACCCAATGCTAAATTCTATATACACAAAGAAGGGAAGCTGAAATTAAAATTGTCTCTATTAATCTTGTTGGAAAATTAAGCAAACATTTCAAGTAAATCACGCTTTATAAAATTAATGAAGAACTGGATCCTTCTGCTGAAACGCAATAAATATTTCAGTAATTCCTTCAGCTAGGTATCGGGGTCATGCTGAAGGTATCGTAAGAAATTCTATTTCTTCTACTATGCAGTTTTAGCTGGTTAAACTCCAGCAGTCACCCCAACTCACACCCTGGGGTCCCCAAACCTTGACTTGTGTCAACCTGCACCTGATGCTCTCTGGAAGTGTGTCCCTGCGGGGAGAAAGATTCCATTACAGACATGGGAATTGCCATGTGGAACTCTGTTTGGTTAGAATAAGCGCTCCGAGACCCCGCCTGGCGTGAAGGGCACTATATAAATGCAAGTTGTTGTTGAATACTCTTAACTGTGATGATGTGCAGTACACCAGACTGATCCAAACAAATTTTCGACTCTAACTAAAACATCTCAAAATATTTCAGTGCTATACTTTGAAAACTAGTGACTGGTTTTGTAGCCAATGTGTGGACTGCAAATTCCCATAACAACATTCAAGTGAAGCTTGAACAGTGCCATGGGAACTTTAAGGGCAGAGGCAGAGGGGATTTTGGTTTGACATTTCAACCGAAGTGCAGCACCATTGCATTACGTCGGTGAGTCAGCCTAGACTATGAGCTCAAGACCTGACAAGGGATCCATAACCTTCTGGCGCAGAGAAAAGAGTGCTATCAACTGAGCCAAGCCGAGACCACATAATGCCCATTCTGTAAATGTCTGCTATTATGAGCCACGTGTAAACCGTGTGTACAGAGGAAATTACAGGAGCCCTTTAATATGTAATTAACAACCAATGGAACAATTGGATGTTAACGACATAATTAACAAATTATTTTTGTGGGTTGTTAATGACATAATTAAGGACAGCTGTAACTGCACACAGCGCCTAAAATAGCTGGTTACACATGACGCATAATAGACCCCAATGTTTGGCTGTAATCATGATGTCCAGCTTCGTTAATCGATTTTCCAAGTTTCCATGACAACACATCGGAATGCACAATGGGTTGACACCACTGACTACTTTTTTGTAATAATATTACAGTATAATAGGCTCTAATATTGGTGTAACATGAAATCCACTGGGTTCCCAATAATGTCATGATTCCTAATTGGATTTAACAAAGTAAATGATATGAATTATTTAACAAAAAAACTACAGCCCTTCTTTCCCCTGGTGCTCAGAAGCCCAAGGATGGATCCATCTGCTCAGCTATTTACCCTCAGGCTCTGGGGGATCGAACTAAGTACGACACCTGATCAGGTGATTCAGCATCAGTGGGAAAGAACCTCCGACTAAAGCAGTCCAGGAGTTTTTATTCATACAACACCTGCCACTGGTGGAGCATTATGTGATATTATTTTGTAGTTTATTCACTCAGCTGGAAGATCTGCTGACAGTCCTGGGATGCTGGTTCTGGCTTGTTTGCTGTCTGGCAACTCGGCTGGGAATGAAGGGAACTCAGATGTCTACACTGAGCCTGGGTGACAGCGACATACATACAGAAAAACACACTGCTGGAAAGGGAATAGGAATCAAATCCCTTTCAGTCAACACTGCCAGATCAGAGGGTTTTTTTTTTAAACAAGAAATGCCTAGGGCTTCGAATTTCGGATGCTTCAGAACAAAACGCCAGTTTAGCTCTTTAATTACTGACAATCTTTTTTTGGGACTCGTAGTCAGCTGTTCCATAAATAATGTACGTTCATACAAATTACTCAGTGCTGGTCTTACATAAAGATAGGTGTGTATGTGAAGTAACATTTTGATGTGGTAGGAAACACCAAAAGGTGCTGTGTGACTTCCAAAGGTCTTTCGACTTCCTCTGTCGTTAAATACAGATTCCAATATTCTCCCTCATCTTTGCACAATGGCATGTTGTAGGACAAGTTTGCTGTTGTCACGGTCCTCTGGTACAAATTGGCTAGTCTTCATCTGCTAGCTTAACTCGAAGCTCTAGGCATTTCTTGTTTAAAAAAAACCTCTGATCTGTCAAGTGCGGATCCCTGACTGCCCAGCGCTTTGGGCAGTCCTCCTGACGTGAAAGACGATGTGCAAATGTAACTTGTTGTTGTTTAACTTGGCATTAGAGCTGGGGGCGTTCCTGCCCTCACCTGAGAATGATATACTTAGCAGGAATAAGCACAATTTTTTTTTGGTCAGCTGGATGTCTGACACATGCAGGAACACATCACCATGCTATGAGAGTATCCAAATCAGTTGCATTTCCACATATGTTTGCCGCAAATACATGGAAACTTCCCTATGTCTGGAATGAAGTGCACACTAGCTCCCTGGATAGATGCACTGAAATAGTGATCAGCTACCTCAACAACAATAACCTGCATTTACATGGAGCCCTTCACGTGGGACAGGGTCTCAGAGAGCTTAATAGTGTTGGAGCCTGACGCTGAGCCTTGGGGAAGGAGGTGACTGTAAGCACAGTCGAAGTGTAAGTCAACAGTCATGATCTAAAAGAGGGGAAGGAGGAGGCAAAGCAGAAGTATTGGGGGAGAGAGTTCCAAAGCTTTGGGGAGTAGTGGCCTTCATCCATGAAGCTTTTGCTTTATATTTATCCCATGACACAAGTGATCTAGGAATACTGAAGTTATACTGTACAAAGAATGTAATCTGCATCTGATCCTTCCTGTGTCCATCAACAGTGCAATAGAACAAGCACAAAACAGGCCAATTGAGCAGGGTTTAACGGTGCAATGGAGTAAGCGTAAACAACTAAACAGACAATATAACACAGTCACAATAAGCTCTAAAGATTGCTGCCTGTCCCACATTTGTATGCAAAACCGTTCTTTATGAAGCGACTTGTTTGCGTCAACTTTGTGAATCTATAATTTAACAGCACTGAGCAAGTATAAATGAGTGCAAGTGTAGAATAATAATGAAGATCAAACTTGTAACAGAGCATTGCACCATTTTGTTTTGGTCGGCTGGGTGTCTGACATGAAACAGTGCGTAAGAACCTGGAAGAATATATTATGTTGAGAATAGAGTACTCATTGGAAGATCATATTCTCACTTTTTCAGGTAAACCCATTGTTATTTATTAACTGACTACCTTGGTCAAATTGACACCTATTCATGCTTTAATAATGCAGTCAGGACACTTTTGCACGTAGCTTAGTGGTTAGAGCGCTCGCCTCGCAAGCGAGAGACCTGGGTTCGATTCCCGGTAGGACAAAACAGGACATTGGGCAAGTTTCCTTACTCCACATGCCTCTGTTTGCCTTCCAGTAAGTAGGAACCTGGTTATTAGTCGTTTGGTGAGGGATCGCTTTTCCCGGGGTAATAATTCCTTCAACAAAAAATAATTACAAAAAATTGGTCACTCAATCCACGACTGTTTGTGGGACACTGCTGTGCAACATTGACTGCCGCATTTTGCCCACAAAACGTACAGTGACATCTCGAAGTCATGATAAGGTGATATATCAAACGCAAGGATTATTATTGTTATTAAGCAATCCGGAAGTTTCTCTTAGCTCTCCTTATGTACTTCAACAGGGAAGAATAAATAAAGCAGATTTGACACAGCCCTCGGAACTTTTGGTACAAAAATGATGCATCGATCATAGATGTGAAAAGAGAGTTAAAAAGAAAAGGAACATATTATTTATAAAAGGGCTTCAACCCTGTGAAGATATAATTTAACAACCTGTGTATGTATTGCAGCTGAAAAGCAGGGACAGGCTGGCTGGTCGATTGAAGGACTTCTTGCCCTTCAGTTGGTCAATTTTGCAATCCCCTGGTACACTTCACTTACACATATATTACTACTTAAATAGCTAAGGTGTATGATCATGTGCTCTTAGGTCTGATTTGACGTGCTCTTCTCTTGGCTCCCTCCTGTGCTACAGAGCTGCTAAGCAGAAGTCGTGACAGCTCCACAACACAGGGGAGAACATTTTTTTTTAAATCAGCGCTAACAACCTTCAATCAGATCTATAAACTTGCAGTTAACAATTAAACTAAACTTTAAAAAGTAACATAACGTTTTAGTGATCTCCAAAAGAATTAAAGGGTGGTTTTAAAGAAAAGTGCTACAGATTTGCTCTATGACAATGCTTCTAGTTTATGAACCTGGCGTATTCTTAAAAAAAATGATAAATTGGTTACTCAATCCACGACTGTTTGTGGGGACGCTGCTGTGCGCAATTGGCTGCCGCGTTTCGCCCACAAAATATACAGTCAATTCCCTTTCCGGTATATTCTGTGAAGCGTTTTCAGACGTTTCAAAGACGTGATAAGGCGCTATATAAAATGCAAGGATTATTATTATTTTTATCTTGGGGCTTTCTCCTCTGTCCCCTCTTCATCTACATGCTTCCTCTTGGCAACATGTGGGATAAAATTCCACATGGGTCTTGATTCACTCTTATCATAGCACATTTAATTTCAGCATGCTATGAAATGCTATGTTAATAGAATAAATCTAGAACCAGGTGAAACTTGCACCATATCATCCACTGACAAGGGATTCACATGTATGCAGATGATACCGTAATCTACTTTTCCATTTGCACTTCTGATTTAAGGTTCATTGCTGCTCTGTCTGATGGTCGGTCTTGCAATTTCTTGCAGCTGAACATGGAAAAGATGGAAGCCATCCTCCTCGGACTCTAACTTAGCAAACAAGTGCGTAACATTAGCATTCACTTTGATCCTCAGCTCTCCTTCCCTCGTCACATTCAATCCTCGACCAAGATTGTGTTTCTTCATCCTCGTCACATTGCCCGCCTCCAACCTGCCTAAATTCCTGCCTCGCTCTTCACCTTGTTCTGCATGGACACCTACTTGCTCTCATTTACATCCCTAGATAGTCCCGCTTCCAGTAAGAGATGATATTGATGGGCCATTCTCTCAGTCTCACTGGCAAGTAAAATGACAGAGAGGAAGAGAAGAATATAAGACATGTTCTAAACCATTCTGTCTGAGTGACTCTCTGTGGTTTATGCCAAATGGGTGAAGAGAAGAGAACTGCGTGGTTTCTGTCCACACATCCTTACTGCAGGCTCCTGCTGAAAGAACTTCATCTTGAAAATGTACTGCCAGGCCACGATCCCTTTTACACAGGGGCTCATGAAAACCTGTCTTTGTCTTCCAGAAGGGACAGCAGCTACAAGAATCGAATGCTCCATCACATGGTGTCACACGCAAGTGATACGATAATCAATTCAGTCAGTGCATTTTTTGGAAACAAAATAATTTGACAAACACTTATTCAATGATGACAGGTGTCTCTTTAAGAAAAATCATTTTCAATAACTTTAGTATGTATCCTCGGGTCGTTTTTGCTTGAACATTGCGTACTAAAGATGTTATCAACTGAATAAGGGACTGAGTCAATCAATGAAGTAAGTCAGTTGACCCCCTCCCCCTCCACCTGTGACAGTCTTGGTCTCACTTGCCCAGATGACTTCTATGAATCTGTTGCTGTTCATAATATAATAATCCTTGCTTTTGGGCATCATCATATTTTCAAAAAGTCTCAAAGTTCACAGGACTTACTGTAAAGTGTATGTGTGTGCAAACATGGCGGCCAATTTGTGTACAGCAATGTCTGAAAAACAGTCGTGAAGTGAATGGCCAGTTTTACTTGGGGGATTGTTGGCCAGGACACCAGGAGAAACTCCCTTCTCAATACGATTGTCAAACAGGATGAGAAAAGTGTCACCTATACAGGAAAGTACCCAGTACCAAGTTCAATGATGTGATATGTATCTGTAAATCTGTGCAACAAGCCTGATCAGGAGAGTTTATGTAATAAATACAAGGCCAATAATGATGCAAAAATGAGGAAAGCAATGAAAGTATTCAATTGGCTTTGCTTTTTTAGAGATAGACAGTACTATACCTGTAGGCTATAGTGCAAGTGTCCTTGTATTCCTGCAGCTTCCCACACACCATGTTAAGGAACTGGTCTGAGTAAGCACTCAGGTCATGCATCAGGTTCACGAGGTCCTGCATTGATTTCTCCACAACCACTGTGCTCTGAAAGAAGAGAATATATCTTTGATCAACTCTATGTCTCTCAGGAACACATCCTCTCTGCTTCCTTGATTCCCACAATCTACCGGCTTCCAAAACTCAAGCTAAGCTCCTTGAGAGTCTCATGGATAACGGCTGCATTTGGTGCAGCGCTAGGATGTATAGATCAGAAAGGCAGAAAGGTACAGGTTTGAATCTGTGCTAAATTACCTGATCAAGATACAGTATGTATATATCTTTAAAAAAAACTTCAATCTTCATGTCCAGTTCTTAATCAGTGTTGTTTTTTTTCCTCTCCTATTCTCCAACGTAGATAGTTTGCTACATGTTTTAGAACACCATCGAGTATTAACTGTTTTTTTGGTACCACTTAACACTGCAGCCAATGGGTCAAGCACACATACAATGAGACATCAGCGCTTTAATTTGACACTACTGGACATATTATACAGCAAGCTGAGAAAAGATATTAGGGTATAATATGTAGACATTTTCAATAAGGTTCTTTAATAGTGAAAACATAGAAACAGGAGTAGGCCATTCAGCCCCTCAAGCCTGTTTTGCCATTCGATAAGATCATGGCTGATCTGTACTAAAGTCCAATTATCTGCCCTTGTACTGTATCCCTTAATACCCTAAAGAAAACTATGTCATACGGATTAGTAGGAAGTTTACTCCAACATAATGTACTCTTGGAATGGAGTTCCTGCAAGTCAATGTGATAAGCTTCCAGTCACTGCATTGAATCCCTACTCAGATTCCTTCTTTAAGAAATTTTGGCAGAAACTGCTGCACATGAAAAGTCTTGTCAAAAGTTTTGATTGCTCTTAAACAAAACTGCAGCTCACTTGAAAGGCTGTGTAGCCCACTGGACACCTGTTGCTAGATGGTTGGTTTCAGAAAAGATTGAATGATTGCTTCATTTGATTGCAACTCAGGTATCCGAATTTCTTCTCCTCCCACCACCCTCCGCATGCTGGCTTCTGCTGAATCTGCACGTACAGGTTTTTACAGCATTATTCATTTCCCTCAGAGCCCTGACAGCCCTTATCCAGGAAGGGTTTCCAATGACCCATGATGGGCACTATTCATTAAGAACTGGCCACAAATATATAAATCAATGTGTCAGCAGCAGGCGCCCAAATCCGCTGCAGCATCTCAGTCGGAAGCTACAATAGGTACAGATTTGTTCTGCCTCATCAGGTCTCACCTGTCTGTAATACTGTACATAGTGTAACAATCAATTACACTGACAGCAGTCCAACTGGTCCCACTGTTCAATGAGGTACAACTTCCCAGACATCCCACTAACCTCACCCCACTCCGATGTGGGGTCCAGGGGAGAAATATCCATCATCAGCCCTAAACAAGGACTGAAATGATTGACAAACCCCCAAATGATCGTAAAATCACCAAAAAAATAGAACAGGTTTGAGAATGGCTGATAAACAAAGTTGTTTTTTGTTGAGCTGGGTGTCTCACAATCAGAAACCGATCACTGTGCTTCTAGAGTATCCAAATCAGACAAAGTTCCACATATGTAAGTCACATACACATAGACATTTCAGTATTAGGTGCAGGTTGGTGAGAGCCAAGGCTTGGGGACGTTAGAGTGTACATAGTGGATACTACTAGTGTTCAGCCAGCTAAAACCACACAGCTTTCCATTGAGAGCACTGTCTGACTCCCATTGTATGTCCAGCTAGGATCACACTACTACTTAGAGCTTTTGTTTGCAGGGCTAACAGGAGTTGAATAGGAAGAACTCTGCCCCTCTCTTCCTCGAAGTCCTCATGATGAATGAAGCTGGTTGTTCTATCACGAGTGGTGCCTTAGACTAGAGTATTGTAAACCCGCCAAGATCAGGAACCAGACTACTGAGACCGCCACAGAGGGTTGATTCCTTCTGACATTCCGTTATCAAGGAAGTCACCTTGAAGCTAGTTTACCTCCAAGAAGACTCTGCTTACCTCCCCCTCCAGGAGGATAGTCTGGTAAACCAAGGTAAAGTACACAAAAATGGATGAACTGGGACATAAAAAGGGAGATTAGAAAAGTTTGGAGAGGATTTGCAAAGAGTTTAGGAGAGATTAACCAACTGGCCTTGTACAAGAATCTACAGAACTGGGTCAAAAATGAGGATTGGGGTGTCAAGAGAGAACTGAAATGAGAATCAACCGTAGAACATAACGCCAATAATTTCACAGAGTCACAAGAGGTCAACGAGAAAGGAAGCTAAAACCCTAAGGAACGTTAAAGTCAAAAACGAGGATTAACAGAAGATGATAAAAATATTGAGTGACTACTTGTGACCTCTCTCGTGTTCTCGTGGTCTGCTAGAAAGTGCTAAACTATTGCAATTCTAGCTTTCGCACTCATCCTCTTCTGCTTGTTAGGAGGACAGATACTCCAGGCGGGAGACTACTCAGTGGAAACTGAGCTGTGTTTTTTGAAGGGTACAGGAATGGATGCCCTTCGCTGGAGCTATTTTCCTTCTGCCACCAGGCAAGGGTGTCTGAGACTGATGTGATTTGACTCATCCCTTGGGGGGAATGTGCCAACACATGAGAGTGGCACTGAAACTTGGGTCTGCAGAATTGCAAGTGATAAAGTAAATTAAATGATTTCTTAAAAACGGATGATTAATTTTCAATTCTTTTTAAAATTTACTTTTCCTTTAAATGCACCATTCCCCCAATTGGGAGGCCAACCAGGTAATCTATTCCTAGGAGTCTAACAACACCACTGACAACTAGTGCAGTAACAACTTACTGAATAGGCAGATTTTGTTGTCCCTACCTTCAGCTGAATTGCCCTGCCACCCATTCACCACCATGCTTCCCTTCTCCTAAGTCTTGCTTTTTATATAGCAATTTATAACATAATAATAATCCTTACATTTCATATAGTGCCCTATCATACCATTGAGACTTCTGAAATTGTCTCAGAATATATTGTAAAGTGGATTGCACGAAACATGGCAGCCAACTGCACAAGGCAGTGTCTCACAAACAGTCAGGATTGAGTGCCCAATTCCTATTATTTTTTTGAAGGGATTATTACCAATTTATACCAAAACATCTCAAAGCACTTTACAAGTAATTACTGTCAACATTGTGACTTTTTGTACGCAGAAACACAGCAAAGTTCCGCAAATGAGGTGAATAATTAGTTCATATGGAAGATTAATGACCAGAAAAACTCCATTCTCTTTTCAAAGTTTCATGACTGATGAACAGGTTTAACATCTCATGTGAAGGAAGTCACGTTCAATGTCAGTCTAGACTCTGAGCTCAAGTCCCAATGTGATTCTTGAACCTGCAACCTTTTGACTCGGAGAACACCATCAACTGAGCTAAGTCATGACCCAAACACATTTGTTTTTCTATCTGGCTACCACCAGATAGTGAAACGTTGGGATTCTGTAACACTGCAAGTAACTGTCTATTTTTCTCAACTGTTTTAGTTCATTGAATGATGATGAAGCAGCGTCTCCTTGGTAATATCACTGTTGAGTTCCTCAAAGTGCAAAAAACAATCCAATTAAGAAAAGTGAGAAGCTCCCTTGTGGTGTATGGATTATATAGATGTTACTTCCTGCTGTTGCTCTAACTCTTCCTTCAGTTGGACAGGGCAGCGCAGCTGCTATTCACAGGTGGTTGCCTTAAACTTTCAGCACCGTAACTGAGGTTAATGTTACGAGTAAACAACTCTGAGGAAGACATTACCTCAGGAGTTATGTATAATTTGCTCTCCATGGTGATGCATAATCACCGAATATGCCATTACCACAGGCAGAACGGAAATCAAATACCTCCCATCAGAACAAATATTCTAGTTAGTTTTGATAATGCGATTTGACAGCAACAGGGAAAAATGTCAACACACACATGCACACTTTACACACAACCATATTTGTTGAGACATAAATAATCCTTCAGTACTTTAATCTTAGAAAAACTGAGAAAAGGGGAAGGAGGAAAAAAGTATTACAGTACTTTAATTAAAGCAGAATGAGGAAAAGGAGACTACTTCTCAGGGGGAGGAAAGGAACAGTGGAAGACATTTTTTTAGTAAAAAACAAATGATGGAATGATGATGACTGTTATGATGTAATGCCATGAGTTGTGAAAGCCTCTCATGGAAATCAATGACAAGATTCCTCATTTGAAGTTAACACCTAACATTTCCTCTAATGGAAAACAAATTAATGGTGCATTAACTTCCGACAACATAAGTTACAGAAAAGGCAAAGAGTTGGTGTTACTGCCAATATCACAGTGTGTGGGCAGTGTATTAAACTGGGAGGGAGGATGCCGGTTTGTAAAACAATTGGGTTACAGATGAGATCAAGTGGTTGATGAGCCCTTCTTCATACCATCCTCTCAACTTGAGTGAAGTAAAAAACACAACAGGAATTGTATTTCTGGGGACAATACCATTCCTTCGTATTATTGTTTTGTGGAGCCTTTGTTTAGTTGCGGGCAATTTTTTTTTGAATGAACTCTAGGAAGCTTCATAAGCAATTAGGGTCAGTACGCCTTGCCAAAAAGGTGCAGGAAACAGAAGATTGATGCTGGACTGCTTAGAACTGGAGTGATCGCCTGGATGGGATGAGATTTCAGGTTCATGGGAGTTAATGAAATAGGTCAAATGCCTTTCCATTAATTCTCATTGACTGGGATTTCGGCTGAAAGGAGGTGAAGATGCTTAACCTCCCCCAGCTCTCCAAATTCAAAAGCTGGCACTTGTACAGATTTATTTGAAGTACAGGAACAGTTGCTGGATTCTCACTCTGGGTAGCTTGGATCAATCATTCTCCGTGGCTGAATTACACAGACGAAAATGGGATAGCGCTTGCTGAATTATCAGGCAGCAATCTAAACTAGGGGTTCGGATGATATCGTGAAGCAGTTTGAGGGCAGTGTGAGTACTTATCACAATCCTGAGAGTGTTTCACATTTGTGCAATTCATTGAGATCTGTCCATTCTTGTAAAAAGGT